TATATCGGAATAATTAGAATATCTGGTATTGATGGATAATAAAAGGATTGAGAAGGTCCTTTTGGATGTAAAAAAATTACCTTTATTTCAGCATCGCTAATAATATCTTGAATGTATGCTACCCACCATTCATTATCATATAAACATGTAACATACCCTTTAATATCTTTAGTTGATATTTCGCTTATTATATTTTGTATTTTTTCTAATTTCGCTTCAATAGCACTGAAATATTTTTTTATATTTATTTGTGATAAATTAACAGGATAGACTGCATGAATTTTTTGAGTACCAGGAATTGAAAGAGCTCTTGCAAATCGTTCCGCTAAAAATTCTTGCTCATCTTGGTATTCTTTATGGGTTGTATAGGAAAAATAAAAATTTTTTATATTTTCCTCAACAAATTTAAAGAATTCATAGGGAGATTTTATTTGATTATCATAAGGACGTTGTAAACTGGCCCGCGCAGCCAAGCGTTTAACGGTTCCCCCTATTCCATCGCAAACATTTTTCCCATGGGCAGTAGAAAAAAAATGACATTCTGCTGGGATGGCGAAGTCTACTTGATGATAACACAAATTTATAAAATTTTTCCTATTTTTATATTGAGCCGCGGACCCATCGGAATAATAAAAAATGTATTTTGGATCGGATAAAAAGTAATTTTTTAGAAAATTTATCAATTTTTTTGGAATAAATAAAATAAACAAGTGTTATGTTCCAGCGATTCAGATATGGCCACATAACTTATATGATTTAATACATTATTTACTTTATAATATATACCAAATGGATGTAGAGTAACCTGGGAAGTGGCCCAGTGATAACTTTGGACTTCATCTTGAAGTATAAATGAGTAATTTTCAGAAAAATCACAGATAATCAAATAATGATTATGCTCTAAATTATTTTTAAGATTCTGATGGAATCTGTTTTGTTGTTCAGTAATAAAAGCATGGCGAATCAAAATAAATATTTTTTCAAATAAGTAATTAAGAAATTCGTCAGCTGTTTGCGTTAGGGTTTCTAGACTGGTTCTATCTACAGATATCCATTGCTTGAACGTTATCCTGTATATATCATGTGCAATTGATAAATTTTCTAATTTAGCCCTTAATTCTTGGTCCCCCGGACATTCATGACATTCGCCAAAATAACAGGCTGGTAGGGGAGATTTTTGGAATTATGTCTTTGTAAGTCTTTATCTCAAAATCCTTATTTTTTGTTAAAGTTGCTAAATTGCTACCTATTAGCAACTTAACATTCTGATGGATTAGGCAGACACAAACCGAGTGAGTGCCACTTGAACCTGGCATTATGCAATTTTTAGGGCGCAATGAGGCGAATTTTGAAAATCCGATTTTAAGAGAAGGGTAGATAGTTTTGAAATTTATATAGATTTCTTTTAAATTATTAAGAATTAACCTTTTTTGAACGTTAATCCTTTCATCATTTTCAATTATAGAAACGCAATCTTTTTTTCCGCGTAATAATCTACTATATTCGTCATTTAAATAGAAACTTTTTACAGTGTCAACTGTGCCCTGATTTATGGTTTTACCTGCTTTCGGATTGGGGGTTGAAAGAATACCCTTTTGACCAAGAATAAATTTTGAATTACGGATCAACAATAATGGATAATTATTTTTCATATGAGTTATTAAATCTTCGCTACCATTTGTATTCGTTTTGGGTTGAAGAATTTTGGCAATCGCGGTTGAAATTCTGCCAAGTTTTTTCTTGGGATATCCTTTCTCTTAGTCTCTTTTTTTTTATTGGTGAATGCCACATTTGATCTAAAGTAGAATTTAAAGATTCTAAAAAAATTGTAGGGATTTGCGCATTATCATTATTATTTGGATAATTATTTTCTATATGGATGGAGTTTAGGAAATTATTTGAGGTTGTAGCTATGTTACTATCCTCTAAAATTGAAACATCTTTCTTCTTTTTATATAAAGATTTGCGACATTTAGGACAAATATAATCTCCTTTGTTAATTTTATAATACATTGTCATCCAAATACTGACTTTACAAAGTCCTTTTTTGGAATAATGATTTGGCAGATTTAATGGATTTGTACAAAACATTTTAATAAAATATTAATAAATTTTAAAATTTATAAATTTTAGGAAAAATAACAGACGATAAATTATTGGAAAAATTTTTTCGAAAAATCGATAATTTAATTAAAATTATTTTAAGCTTACTATTATTAATTATTCGATATATATTTTATTATGGAATAAAAAAAATTTGACTTATATTGTTAAAATTGATATTTTAAATTACTTACGCCATCTAGCGGATTTTTCAAAAATGAGATTTTCTCTAATTAATATTTTTGGGCCCACTCTGAAATTTTTTATATGAACAGTTCTTGGTAATCTTTACAAATTGTCTGAAATTTGGAAAAAAAATTTTAGTCTAACATTTTAAAAAATTAATCACAAATTTTTAACCGCAATTTAAGAAAAATATATAAACTAAAAATTAATTTTATTTAACATACGTTCAAGAGTTTACTTAGGGATATAAAATGAGCCATAATAGATATACATAGTGCATCTAGTATAAAAGTTATCCCAATTTTAAAAATTCATTTTTTTCAAAAAATGACCAAGCTGAGCCACTTTGAAGCCCTATATCTCCGGTTCTAATAGAGTTAAGAGTCTAATATTTTGGATTCGTCACTTACAATACTTTAGTAACTTAAATACCAAATTTTAACAAAATCTGAGATGGTCGGGTTGTAAAGTGATTGATTTGACATGGAATGACCCTTAAATATTTAAATCATGTCAAGATTTCTTTCAGTGAAAAAGCCAGGTGAAAATTTTTTGGGGGCATTTGCCAATATTTTGTGCTCTAACCACTATAGTAGCCAACATAAATGAAAAAAATATTTAAAAATTTTTGCCAAATTTATGATTAATACGCAACTGAAAGCATTAATCTGAAAATGTAATCAATGTTTAATTCAATCCATTCAGTGTAAAAAGAAGAAAAAAATCGCCCCCCCCCCAAACCTCCCATTTTTTATGATCACTCAATATATCTTATTCTATGTTAAAATTCAATTTAATTAAAATATTAAAATACTTTAGTATAAATAACACCCCTTTATTTAACTATGTATTTATTTTAATGATAATATACAATTAAATAATTTTCAAAATGTAGAAATTTTATATAGATTATATTAAAAATTTATTCTAAATAACTATATATATAAAAATAAAATTACAAAAAAATATGAGTATTTTTAAAAAAATTCAGGCCAGGTTGGGTCGGGCTTTGGAATTTTATTTTAAATAAAAATATTTGATTTTATTTATAAAAACTAGATGCCATATAAAATATATCTTTTATTTTGAGTAATTATAAAAATGAATTTCTATATTTAAATAAATTCAGGCCAGGCCAACAAAACTTTTTCAAAAAAATTTCGGGCCAGGTCTGGCTTGAAAAAATAGGCCCAATGAAGATCACTAATTCTTATTGCAAATGCAATATTTTTATTAAAAATAGTATAATATATAAATATTATGACTAAGAATTCATTATAATTACATTTTGAATATAAAAATTTTATGACTAAAAACATATAGTATAGCAATTTTATGATTTGAATTTATAAAGAGAGGACAGCTTTTCTCTGAGATTTGAATAATACATCTAGAATTAAATTTTTATCTAGAATAATCTTCTTATAAATATTTAAAATTCATTTAAACAACTTTCACCGATACTATTTCTTAAATAGGTTTTTAACCTTTCAAAGTTGAAAAAGACCTTTCATTAGTGCATGAGCTAATCTGTAAGGTAAAAAAATAAAAGGCAATGTTTTGATATTAGGCAGGGAATCTAAGTCAAAGAGTACTCTATTCTGTCAAATTTAGACCAAAATTTGATATTACAAAGTAACTTATACAATCCTGATAATTCAACAAAATAAAACTGAGATTTTCTTGAAATCCTCTCGCATTTCAAGCGTATTCACACTCAACTGGCAAAAGAAAATAAAAGCTGTTTAAAATATTGCGACTAATAAATCTTTCCTTTAATTGAAATAAAAATATAACTATTAAGAGGTAAAAATATTTATTTTATAAAAATCCTCAATCATAGATGCATCAATATTTAAGCGATGAACTATCTAGAAACTACTTTAGGTTTAAAATTTTTAATCCCAAACATATTAGCGATTACCTTTACTTTCTCATTATATTTACCAAATTAAATAATTTTTCTTTTATTTAAAAATTATAAAAATTAATTAAAATTAAAAATTTTATTATTAAATTTATAAATAATAATTTATTTAACTATGCCAGAAAAAATTTACAATATATTTTTGGTTATTTAATATTTTACATATAATTTTTAATATATATTTTTAAACCATGTTATTTAAAATTGAAAATTCTTATTTGTTTTTTTTAAATATATTTGATTTTGATATTGTATATAATTTTATTTATAAATTGAAACCATTTTTTAAATAAAATTATTCGCAATAAGAAAGAAATTTTTAAAAAAAAAAAATTTGAGGTTTTGGGGGGGGAGGGGGTTCAACCCCAAAACCCCCCTTATATATGCCACTGATTTCTTTATTTCTATTATCTATGAGCAAAGAAAAATAATGAATTAATCTAAACATTAAACAACCCTAAATAAAAGCTAATTAAATTAATATTTTTAATTCATAAATATCCCTTAATTATATTAGCTTCCAAGATTAAAAATACAATTTTTCAATTATGGGTTTCCTCATTTTGATCATATTCAATGTTAAATCACCTTATAATTCCAGAATAATGCATTTTACAAAGCTAAGGATGTTTTTATGTTTACACTAAAAAAAATTTCAAGAGAGTTAAGCATTTAATAATATAATGTAATTATTTACTAACTGAATATTTCATATTAATGTTTGAAAGAATATAGTGTATATGTGCAAAATAATGTCTTTGTTAAATTCTATTTAGTAGTATACCTTCAATCATATTTTCTTTAGATATAGTATGAGATTTTTTTTGTAAATCATTTAGAGTAAGGATATCATTTATAATTAAGTCTTTCGGCAACATTTTGTCCAAATTTTTGACTATTTCTTCTTCTTCAATTAATATCTAAAAAATTCAATATTATGGATAAAACACAATTAATCTACCTTGGTTATATTATGACATATGGGACATTTTATATTAATTGCATTAGTTTGGTCATCATTGATCTTTAATTTGGTTTGAAAAAATGGAGAGATATTTGAAGATATATGATTATGTGTATTTATACAATCTTCTCGTAGTATATGATTGTTATCATTTATATGGTATAAATCATTGCCTTTTGTTAAATTATGTAAATCATCTAAACTTCTTGCAAGTCTAAATATGCATTCTAAACAAAAACTGTGTAAACAAAATAGTATCCTAGGATCTGAAAACTTTTGATTGCATAAGAAACATTTTATTTGAGATGTATGCATAAAATCAAAATCGTTATTGGTATCAAAGGCGTCATTATTTTTTTTGTCCATTTCACATTCATCCATTTCATTTGTAAAATGACTTTGATAATTATTATGCTTATGGTCATTTAATGATATACCATTCTCTAATAATTCATCTTTTTCATATGCATCATAAATTATATTTTTATAGCCTTTATACTCACTATCTTGTGGATTAAGGTTATCGTCATTGGAAAAGCCGTTATTATGTTTATTTATATTCGCTGTATCTTCATTTTGTGGAGAATCATCCGCACATAATTTTTTGGCAAAAAAAGATTTAGTTTCATTCTGTAACATAACCTGTAATAAAACTAATATGTAAAAAAATCCAAAAATGGTAAAATAAATTATACTTGATATTTCATAGATGAAAGTATCTAGTATTTCATAACACGGAAAGAACCTAACAATGTTGACTATAATTGCAAATATCTGTGGGAAAATATTTATTTCATAAATTCTAATTTAGTTTTAGTTGGATTCTAAACTTGATTCTTTTTGCGTATTTCTTTATTTGTGCACACACATTCAAATAATAACATTACTGTAATAACTTTTTGTACACTTTTTAATTTACCATATTTAAATCTAACAGTATTATCGTCTTAGCATTTTTACCGTCACTTATTTTTTCCCACACACATTCTTATAAACATCGAACACATTTCTATCATAAGAAATGTGAAAAAAAATAAGTCGGCTAGTTACTGGCTCTTGAATTATAATACACATGTATTTAATACTTTCATGGTTACATTTTTAAATATAATTAATATTATAAAAGCACACAATTCGAAATATATCCAGAATATCCAGTGGCGTAGCCAGGATTTATCCAGGGCAGGGGGGGGGTTGCCAATATTATGTGCTTTATTATTGTCAAATCACTATTAGTGTTGTTATACGGCTCTTTTTGAACCAATTTTTAAAAAGGACCAACTCAATATTCGTCCTGAATAATATTAAGTAAGGCTGTAGATTTTGTTTGTAGAAAGAATAAAGGTTTGAACATCTATTAGCAAAATCTCAAGGCTTAGGCAATATTTTTCTGGCTAAAATATTGAGATAGCCGTTTTTTAAAAATCGGCTCAAAACGAGCCATTTGACAACACTACACTACACTATAGTAGCCAGCATAAATGAAAGAATATTAGTAACAGAATTTTGGCCAAATTTATGATTAATAAGCGGCTGAAAACATTATTCTAAAAATTTTATCAATGCTTAATAAATTGTAAATTAATCTATATAGTGTAGAAAGAAGAAAAAAATTTGCCCCCCCCCCCCAAACCTTCCATTTTTATGATCACTCAATTTATCTTATTGAGTGTTAAAAATAATAATTTTAATTAAACTTTAGAGAATTTCATTATAGATTTTATTTATTTTTAAAATAATATGGTATAAATAATATGGTATAAATAATATGGTATAAATAACATCCCTTATTTATTTTAATGATAAAATACAATAAAATAAATTTCAAAATGTATAAATTTTATACAGATTATTATATTAAAAATTTATTGTATACAACTATATTTAATAAATATAATTCAATAAAATATAAGTAATTCTTGTACGGTATTTAAGAAAAATATAATTTAACAATTATAATTAATACAAATGAATCAAAATATAAATAATTCATATTGCAAATGCAATAGTTTTATTAAAAATAGGCAGCGAATCTAAAATGCAATTACACATAGAAAGGGCCTGCAAAGCATTTTTTGGCCTCAAAGATTATTCTATTTTATCAATATTTTTATACCAAAATACGACATCACAGTAACTTATGCGATCCTGATAAATCATCAGAATAAAATAAGATTTTCTTAATATCCTCTCATTTCAAGTGTAATCAACAATTCAGACTCAACTGACAGAAGAAAATAAAAGCTTTTTAAAATAAAATTGTGACTAATAAATCTTTCATTTAATTTAAATAAAAATGTATAATAAATATTTATTTTATAAAAATCCTCAATCGTAGATGCATCAATATTTAAGCGATTGAACTGTTTAAAAACTACTCTAGGTTTAAAAATTTAAATCCCAAACATATTAGCTATCTCCTTAACTTTCTCGTATATTTCATGAAATTTTCATCCACATTATCTTTGATATTTGTTATATTTCAACATTGCCCTTTGACCTATTCATAACCTCCCTTAAATCCAAATCAATTTTTTGTAAAATTTTGCTAAAATCTTATGTATAATTTAATAAAAAATATACACATTGAATTGATATTAAAAATGTGGCTTCGTAATAGCCTGCAAAAGATTTTCAGCATCTGAGGAATCCTTTAATTTGCTTGATATGTAGGATTCGAGCGCTGCAAAAATAACTTCATATAATTCGATGAAAAATCTCACTGATTGTTGTCTTTCAATAAAAATCTTTTTAGTTTTTTTAAATTATTTGAATCAATATCATAAACGTTCGGTTAAAAGGTTGCCTCCTCTTGGATGGTGTGAAAAAGTCACAAACCGACGATATTGTTTCTATATTTTAAAATATATTAGAATTATAAAAAGATATCTATAATACATAATAAAATCCAATATATTCCAATTAAATTGAAATATATTTACGTAAACTGTTCCGGATGTATCGAATTTCGCATTCCTCATATATCATCAAATTTAGGTAATGTGAACTACAGTAACATATGTAGCTGTGCTATAAAGCTCTCTAATTCTTGACTGCACCCCTTTAACGTGACCAATCAGGGAACTCTATCATATCCTTCATTAGATTTAAATTTAAATCTAGGCCTTAAATGGATGCTAAAACTTTTTGGCTAACATCTATGATTTAGTGTCATGTAAGTTAATAAATTGAACAGTGTTCCTTCATTTTGAAATCTCCTGATTATTGCTCTATGTTACCAACATCGAAGTCTCATCTTCCAAAATACTAAAAAATGGTGATGCTTCACTTTTGAAGAAATTTCTTTCAATATGAACCTATTTGCATATGGTTATTATTTCATTTTGAATACTTGGACTAAGGTAGGGTAGGTGGCATTTTTAGCAGAGCTTTCAAAAAGCTTATCATTATTATTATATAAAAGTTACAACAATTCCTTGAAATTCTCTTCATTATGAGAAATTTATTTATGAATTGAAACCGTTTTTTAAATAAAATTATTCGCAATAAGAAAAAAAATAAAAAAAAAGAAGATATTCTAAAAAAATTTCAAAAAAAAATTTCAAAAAAAAAATTTCAAAAAAGTTTTAAATAAAAAAAAATTTCGAAGGGTATGGGGGGGGAGGGGGTTTCAACCCCAAACCCCCCCCCCCTTGTCTATGCCACTGAGAATATCACTACCAATAACATTCCAAATTTTGCACCATAGCCACTAATTAGCATTACCATCTTACGATGCTTTGCCTTCAAGTCACAGCAATTGATAATTAGTATCCTCATATGCAAATAAGCTCGTGGGGAGGGGGGGGGGGAATTTGCAATGTTGACTTGTTCTCAGGATACAAAACAATGGAAGAACAATATAATATACAGTGCACATGCTTTAATTAAAATGATATAGAAATATGTAAAATATTATTATTTTAATTAAAAAGCAATGTATTTTTTTAACATAAATTTCTCTCGATACAGACCAAATTTTCAGTAAATCGCTTCAAAATTTTTAAATAATTATACCAACCTTATTCTCGTCACTATAGATACAAGGATAAACAGGAATTTTTAGCTTGGGGAGGGGGGCAATGGCATCCTTTTTGGAAGGGAGAAGGGTACTATTTTATTAAAAATAAAACAAATTAGGCATTTATATAAAAAATTTTCAATTTTTATTAAAAATTTTTAAATGTAACATGAATAGAAAATAATGCCATAATATAATGCCACGATTTTTATTTTTAAATTTTAACATAAATGTAGTGTTGTTAAAAAGCCCAATTTGGGTCTATATTTCAAAACGGCCTGAGATTTGGCAAATAGATGCCCAAAAATTTCTACCAGCCATGAGCAAAATATACATAATGTTATTTTCATTATAATTTTAATTATGCAGTTTTTTAAAATCGACCGGAGTCTGGCTTTTTAACAACACTTCATAAATGAATTAAAAGTTAAATTCTGTGTTTTTCTTTTTTCATAGGCCATTTATTTTAAATTTGTTTTACTTTCTCGTTAGAACCCTCTTTAGTATAGAGAATGAGGCTTCACAAGAAGTGGTTGATACTCCAATGATGATGGCTGTTGAGTAGCATTTATGCAATTCTTTAAATGGAAGACTATACTTTTTTATACATAATATTTAGGATATTTTCAAAATTATATGTTTCTTTAACTTCTGTAGCTATCTGCTTTTTTTATTTCATGATGTAATGTTTCCTTATTTAAGTTTAATAATAATCTAATGGGGCCATTTTATCTGAAATAAAATATTAAAGGTCGGGGGGGGGGGGGGATGTATTAAAAGATGGTTGATATGTCACGTTTTTAACAATAATAAAAAAAGAAAAACATATAAATAATAATATAAAAAAGAATCTTAATTTTACCATAGAGTAACCTATGAATATGATTGTTTAATTTAATAGTTTGTTACATAATTTTATTAAGACTTCAAGTGACTGATTTAAGATGATTAACTAAAACTGTAAAATGATTAATTATTCTTTTATTTCATATTAAATTAATATCATATAAAAAGGACGATGAGTTGTTGATAAGGATCAGTATAAAATGTTATTCATATTTTAACTCGCGCTGAATATTATGTATAAAAGATTTTAAATTTAAATAAATTGATTAAATCAAGACATGAATATTCCTAGTTATTTGATCTGCCATATCTACTCTAATATTTTAAGCATGATAGAAGATTATCATGGGCGTAGCCGGGGGGTGGGGCAAGGGAAAATTCCCCCCCCCCTTTCAGAAATTTACACTTTTGTGAATATCATTTTAAGCTAATACAAAATATCCCCCTTAGTCCTCCCCCCACTCCCTGACCCCCAAAAATGTATACATATATTTTAGACAATAATTTGAAAGAAAGAATGTAAAAGTTGTATTTTATAAAACTATTCATCATAATTTTATACATTTTTGGTAAAAAGCATTTTTATATAAAAAAAGTGAACCAAAAATGTTTATTAAGAAATGGAATATAAGCCAAAGATATTTCATAAGACAAAAGTGAAATGAATTATAATTATAAATAATAGATCCATAAAATTACTAAATAATATATATCAGATATAATTTTTTATAAAGTGAGTAATTTTAATTTATTTATCTTAATAAAAGTAAAATATAATTATAAAAATATATCATAAATTAAATAAAAAAATTAAAGCACAATACAAACAGTGGAATATTATATGTCGTAGATTTGCAGTATATTAATCAATTATCATATGACAATCAAGTAAT